TGAAAGATGACTCCCAGGGACTTCATGAGCACCACCAGAAGACTCAAACAGTTCTTTTAGATCACTTTGTCCAAACACTTAATATTTGAGACTATAAGCACTCTCTTGACTGAGCTGGAGCAGATGGCTGGTGGTGTTGGACTTTTTGATACTTTTTCTTGTTCCCTCCTCAGGAGGTTTTACACCTTTGCTACCAAACCAGAAACTGTATATTGCCCACTGAATGTACGCAGGAACAGAGAAGCCCAACTTAACACTGAAACTGTGAGACTCCGCAAAGGAACTGGATTCCTGAAACTCATCAGTCAGAACAGACCTTCTAAAGCTCATTATCAATAGACTTATCCTTGGACACTGAGAAATCCATTGTGCTAGGAGAGCACAATCTGTGTTTTGGTGAAGAGGATGCTAATACCTAATATCTTCAGAGACTGCAAAAGTGACTTCTCTCTCACTTTGGAGTCAACTCATTGATACAAATGAACGGATCTATCCCTTGTCCTCACCAGCCTAACAGTCCCCTTGCAAGGCATGCTTCCTAACCTTTCTCCCAATTCAGGGGGCAAACACCTCAGAGTGCCCCTTTGGCAGGCAAAATGGGAGCAGCATTAAGTCTGAAGTGTTTCAGACTTTCATAATTTCTCAAAGCAATAGTACTTGTGTCATACTGGAAGAGAAGGGCAAGGAAGTGACCAAAAGACGTTTGAACTTCAAAAATACATCTAAATGTATCATATAACTAAATAGATCTGATGGGAAACAAAACAAGAAGTGGCCTTCTAGGCAGTGTGAGAGACATAAAAAACTCTTCTGAGAATTCACATCATTCTTCTATGGTTATCTGCTTCCCACAATCCAACTAGGAATTCAGGTTATAACCTGAGGCTTTCACAAACTTTCTTTTATAGAATGAAGAATCCATTCACTACTTCTACTATTATTACAAACAGATGCTACTATAATATACATACAAGGTTCTACCCATCCTGTGTTATGTACATTCAGTAGCGGGTGATAAATCCTGCACTGTTAAGTACTTCACGAAAGAAGCCTGATCATTATTTGGCTTAGGAAGAGCATAACAAACTTCCTTCTCCTAATAAAGTTGAACAGATGCAACTTAATCTCCAAATTATAACTCCCAATCTTGACATAAGCATGAAGGCTGTTAACAGCTGTATCTGACAACACTATATATTTAAAAATCTATCTGTAAAATCATAATATAAAATTGTGTATGACCATATACAACACAAACTGAGATTCTGTATACCCATAGTCTCTGCTCAATCATCTTGAAAGAAGAACTGATGTCAAAATTTTAAAAACTCAGTATGTTGAGTTTCTGCTATCTTCAGCTGAATTTTTATATATTACTCCCTAAGAGACTCTTAATTACAAAACAAAACAAAAAAGAGTTTAATGGTGTTACTGTCTTATAACAATATTCCCAAATTAGAACACAAGAAGGATACTTATACTAGGTATTTTTGCCAAGAATTCTCCCAGTTATGACCACCCAGAAACAGGAACATAAACACAAAGAGGGTTCTGAGGAGCTGTCAACACTTTAAGTGATGGAAGTAACACATCAGCAGTTACCCAAAGCAAAGACCATCCCAAAAGTCCATTTTTAGCTGAACCAATTGCACCACTGACAAAACCAAGCTTATTGTAACTACAGTGGTAGCTGTGCTGCAGTACTGATGAGCATGTAATCTCTAAAAACACAGTGGAAAAATTAATGTGAATCTGGCCCCATGGTCCTCAGGGCCAACTCTTCCACACAAAACAGAAGGTAAGAATATTTACTTTGGGGCTGGAGGAGAGGGGAAGTCCCATTCACTGAAGAACAGAGCAGGGAAACTACTGGTCAAAATTCCTGATAAGTGTTATCACCTTTAAGGAAGCTGGAACTTGGCACTGCGTTGCAAGAAAGCCCTTAAATGTCACGCACAGGTTTGGCCTCTCTGGGAGTGCCACAAATTCTTATGGAATTTGGGTCTCACTCTACTTATGGCCCTAAGCCTACTTCAGGCATGCTCACAGCACAAAGTTTAACACACACACATATATATATATTTTTTTGTGAGACCAAGGACCTGATTTTGAGTGAAATGAACTCCCCCTGAGATGACACAAAGCTACACAGCAGTATTTACTCCATTGTATGTTGTTCATAAAAGTGCCTTAGCCTGAGGTCAGATGGGAACATGAGACATTCAAAGTCAGGAAAGGCTGTTAGTACTACAGTTCCTACCAATGGAACATAGGCAACAACCGAACATACTTGCCAATACATTAACATAATTTTTATATTCTCATTCAAATGGTGCACTAACAAGCTTAGTATAGATTTAAGCATGTTACATCAGAGGGTTAATATTTATACATTACTTCAGCATGCAAAACAGCTCAGTAAAAGTGACAATAGAGTGTAATTCACTAATGGCAAATTAATTACAGTAATTTAACAAATGCAACACCCACGTGTCACTGACTGACGAAGCCAAGCAGTATGCCTAAAAACATAAATAGCTGGAGATTTGATTCAACTTACAGAAGGTATTCTTGTTCTTCTTTTTATTTTAATTTTCACAGAATTGCTATGCTAATCCTCACAATTAATTTTGGCAGTTTTCAGGATAAAAAGAAATAATTCAGCTAATTTGCAAGTTACAAAACAAGGGAGGGGACTTCAGGCATGCTCAAGATATACAAGATAAATGCCAGATACCACACCTAGACAAGCTTGAGCTAGTTACCATCAGGACAAAAACAATGCTTCAAGTTATTTTTCAGAATACTGATGCTATTAATGTATGATCTCCAGTTGGGCTACTTTTTCCAAGCATGTAGTTATTATAAAGAATCAAGAAAACACAAAGCATGCAACCAGAAAAGGACGGCAACACTGAGTGGGATGTGGAGTAATGTATCATCAACATCACAAAATATTTAAATTGAAAGAAAGAATAATGCTTCAAGTGAGGCCTTCTTCACAGGTGTTGCAGTATTATGATGAAGCAGTTATTCATCCCACTAAGATACAATGCCTTTATGTGGTAACAAGATAGTCATTAATCTATTTGCTTCTTCACTAAAAATCTTACTACATCTTGAAACTTGCCAGTTATATTCCTAACACATGGCAGTCCTTTTTGATTAGAGAGTAGATGAAGACAGTGTACTTCTCCTGGCACTTCTGCACCGGCAAAAGCAACAAGCTTTGCATCACACCAAGAACAAAATACAGCGTAGTACAGCAACTAGAAAATTATTACATGCCACAGAAAAGTAAGATCAAATTCAGAGTTATTCTGAAGAGACCTTCCTGCATCTGAATACAGCTTCCTAGGTTATTAATCCTCATCACTTGGTGCCACTCCCTCCTGGCACCAAGGCAAGTTACAGTATGGCGTTTAAGCAAAAAGGGGGGGAAAAAAGTTTCACCTCTCAGCAGCAATTGGCTACACATTCCAGTGATTCCCTTGTGCTTAGCCCGAGCTGCACAATACCCCATGAGAACCCATCCTCTCATCACTAGAAGAAACACATGCACCTTCTTCCCCCTCAAGGTACTTTGATGGTGTAACGAGCATCCTTGCAACAAAGCACTCCTGTCGAGCAGCTTGCTACTATGAGAATATTTATGTTTTCTTCCTTAGACGAAAATGTTATTTTATAATAATAGGGTTTGACAGCGTTCTGTTAATGTTCAGCCACTGGGACGAGGCAGTTTCAGATATAGGAAGTAACAGCTATGCTGTCCTGAGGTCACCATGCCAGAGGCGGCAGGCCATGTGACAGAAGCCTCGTGTACCCTGCGAGGGTCAGGGTGCACACAGCTCTGCTTTGGCTAAAAACTGGGTGAATTACAGAAAACGAGAAAGCCAACCTGCTACAAATAGTGTTCACAAATGGATTAATAAGAATACAGAAACGTAGGAATTTTACATTAGCCTCTTCTTTCCCCTCTCCCCAAAAAGAGCTTTTAGGTATTAAGTTTATATAGGTGTATATATATTTATCTTTCTTTATATAAATATGTATGTATTAAAATATCAGTTGAATACATCCATTAAAAATAAAACTTGCGCATTGTTTGACCTATATGAACAGCCTTTAGAAGGAGCAGTACTTAAAGGAGTCAGCAACTTTGAACCGCAGCTGCCAACACACAAGATGATTTTCAACTTCAAATTAAAAAACACAGGCAGTAAAAATGCTCATCCTATACAGCCCAATTAACTTCGGTAGCGCAAGACAGACAAAAAAAACTACAACGTGCTCCACGCTTAACGTGCTTCTCAAAGGGCCTCAGCTTCCTGGTTATTTTAGAGTTCAGCCGAGTGCTCCTCCTGCCTCAAGAGCACATGTGCCCATCCTCAAGGCTGCGGGGTACCGGAGCGGCAAGCCCGTGCTCCAGCGGCACAGACTGCTGTCCGGCTCTGCTCACCTCTTACAGGGTGCACGAACAAAGAAACTTACTTTAACTTCTGTTTTTCTCTACCGATTTTCTGAACAGAGAACCCGAGAACTTAGAAAGAGGAACAAGCATTAGCCACACATTAATCAGTGCCTAAAGAGGGGTTTGGTCCGATTTTAGAATAAACGGCGGAGACACATGATCCAATTAAATTCTAATTATGTAAGTAGTAGGCAAGAGTATTTACACAGGCACTGATTACAGCTATTAGAGTCTAAAGTCGCCGGCCGGAGAGGCTCCGCTTCCTCCCCGCCGCCGGGCTCGTTTCATTTCTAACCTCCCCTTGCACAGCTCTCCTTACAGACAATAGGAGACGTCGGCCCGAGAGCCCCGTCTCCGAACCCGGACGCCAGCCTGGAGGAGCCGCAGCTCTCCCCGGAGTGATGATTCACTACCCGTCCCACCTCGGAGCCGGGAAGACCCCCCCACACCCCATCCCACCGCCCGCAACCCCGGCCCCGCAGCGCCGGGAGAGGCAGCGAAACCCTCCCGCCCCGCCAGTAGCCCTTACCTCCGAACAGGTGCGGCGAGAGGTGCGCGGGCAGCGAGCCGATCACCAGCCGGGGCCCGCCGGAGGAGCCGGAGCCGCCGCCGCCCCCCGCGGGCCGCTCCCGGCCGCCCTCCTCCGGGGTGCTGCTGACCGAGTCCTGCGAGCCGTAGGGGCCGCTGCTGTGGGGGATGTTGAAGGCAGACTGCGCCGCCCGGGCCCCGGAGGCCGTGGCACCCCCTAGAGATCTGCTCCGGGGTGCCGACGCCGCGGCACTCCCCGCCGCCGCCGCCGCTCCTCCGGCCGCCGCGGCCGCCGCGCCGCCGGGAGCAGCGTGAGGCGCGGCCGCCAGGTGCGCGTAGCGCCCGCCGCCGCCGGCCGAGCGCCCGCCGGTCCCGTTAGCGCCGCCGCTGCTGCTGCTGCTCGAGGAAGGCAGGTCCCCGCCCGAGTACGCCCGGGTGCGGCCATTGGCGGCGGTGGGGCTGCTCTGCTTCGCGCCCATGGTCCCGCCGCCGCCAGGCGCTGCCCGGCGCCCTTCGCCGCCGCCTTCCCCGCGGCGCCCGAGGGTGGTGGCAGTCCGGCCCCGGCGGGGGCGATCCGAGGCGCGGGTCGCGCCGGCGAGAGGGGAGAGGGGGACGGGTCGCTCGGTGGGTCGGTGTGGAGAGGGGAGAGCCGCCCGCCGGGATCCGGCTCAGCTGGCGGCCCCGGCGCGGCCGCTGCTGGCGGGTCTGGGGCGCCACCATGAGCTGCTCGGGACGGTGCTGGCTCCCGCCGCGCGGCCGCTCGGCTCCGCCGCCGCTGCTGCTGTGCCCGCCGCCGCCGCGACCGCCACCGCCATCCTCCTCCTCGTCCTCCGCCGCTGAACCCTGTGCCGGGCACCGGCGGCAGCAGCGCCGCCGAGGCCGCTCGCTCGCCCGCGGCGCGCCGTGCCCGTGCCGAGGAGGCGGGAGGGGGCGGTCGCCCCGGCGCAGCCGCTCCTCTACCGTGTCGCCATGCTGGGGGCGGCACCAGCGGGCGGGATGGGGAGCGGTTACGGCGGGCGGGGGCCGCAGCCTCGCCTTCCCCCACGCGCCCAGCGGGAGACCGGCCCCCGGCGGCGGCAGCGCAACGGGCCGGGCCCGCCGGCTCGCCCCGCCTCCCGCGCCGCTCCTCCCGCAAGGTGCGGGACAGCGCCAGGTGAGGCCCGCGTGGGCTCCGGCCGTCCTCGCCTCGGCAGAAGGGAGAGTTCCCTCGGCGGGGCCGCCGCCAGGACACACACACGTACACGCCCACATACACACGGGGAGCTCACTGTCCCCTCGCCCGCAGGCGCGTCCCTCCGGGGCAGCAGCGAAGTGCCAGACCGCCGCTGGCAGAAGGCGAGCGGCCGTGCTTGGAGGCGGCCGGCGGCGGCCCCGTGTCCGCGCTCCCTTCGAGCCCGGCAGGTGAAGGAGAGGAGCGGCTGCGGCGGGCAGGGCCGCGGTGGCGGAGCGGCGTGCCCTCCTGTGCCCTCCTGCCGCGCCGCCGCTCGGTTCTCCGCCACTGCGGCTCCAGCAAGCGCCCGGATGCCCGACCTCGGCGGCCGGGGCGGCTCCCGGCTGCCCGCCCGGGCCGCGGCTTGGCGGGACAGTGGGGGTAAGGGCCACTTGCCCGCCTCGGGAGCTCTCCCGGGTCGGCGACTTCCAACCCAGACTGTTTGCTTCGAGTCTCTGTTCTCCGGGTATGTGGACGTACCAGGAGACATGTGGACATATGGGGAAGTAGGACAAGAAGGATGAAAATCTCGTTGGTTCACAGGTGATACAGAAAGCCCTGCGTACCTCAGTCTGTCACTCGAAGTCGCGTTTATTTACACGAGGATTAACTAAAAAATTTATCCCAGTGAATAATACCCATGTGGATATCAGACTCAGTTTGCTCATGACAAAACATTCAGAGACATAAAACTGTTTTGTGCCTTGTTTGATACTGTCACGTACATTGAATTTATATAAACATGATTCCTACAGTGGGTCATCTGAGGAAAATGTTTGTTTTTACGGATTATTGTCTGCTCTAAAATAGGCTATGTCACCATGAAGCAGTACTCTCTATCATACTGTCTCAGTAGGGATTCCAACTACATTCCTACCTATGTCACAATGGCACAGTATCCAGGCTATTTTATAATACGATCCAAACCTTAATTAAAATACAAAGTATTATGGAGCATTAAATTTACACTTGTGGCATCTTTGATGCTCCTTCTCAGATGTGAAAGGCCACCTGTTCACCCTCCGTTTGCTACGTCTCTTACAACTGCATGTGGCATCACGTTCTGGCATCATTGCAGCTCACAGCTGGGTCTGCAAGAAGAGGTGACATCGTTGGGGGTGGTACAGAAGGTTACTAGCCCTAGCTCTTCATTCCAACACCACTTTTCTGGATAGCTGAGACACTCTGTGAATACTCTGAACCCCATTCAGAGAATGCTGGTGTAAACTGTTTGCCCGTTTCAGCAAGAGGCAGTGATTCCACAGCTGTCTTATGAAGAGTCTTTTGTGTGCTGGGTGTTGGGCAGACAGCTGGGGTCGATAATCTGCCGTCCCAAGCTATGTCATCCCCACTTGTGAATTATAAGCTGCAGTCTCTGCTAGCAGTGGTAGATACTCCAAAGTAGATCAATCATGAGCACTTTCTAGTTCAATTCCCTGCAGAAAGAAAATCAGTGTGGATATGCTGTCTGCTCTGCCACTTTTAAATCCTGGTCCAGCTCCAGCCAAATCTCTCAGAGACATTAACAGTATAGAAAATAAGTGGTTATGCAGAAGATAAAGATTCTAATGTTCCCACAGAAAGGAAAGCTACCCTAGGAATTCCTATCCTGCTAGATTCCAGGAATCTGCTTGTGCAAAGGATGTTGCAAACATGACTCATAATTTCTGCTGCTCACAGAATGCCTGTGGCATGTTGAGCCCTATTGGAGCAGGGTTAGAGGGAACATGCTCAGAGTTTTATGGAGTTTTTAAAATTTCCACTACTGAGTGTTAGTAGAGCTGTTCAGCTGCTAGAATAAACAGCATTTTGAAAATGGTACATTGTTACACAGTATCACAGCAGTTCCTATATTTTTTTACAGTGGATTTTAGAATTGAGCAGGTATTAAATACAGATCATATTTGACTGTGAATAATATTTTATTCAATTTAGGATTAAATTATGAAGCCTATGGTGGAAAAAAAAGCCGTAAAAAAATACATTCAGTTACTCTGTCTTGCAGTCAGAAAGTTACATTTAACAGCATAGGATATTTCACAGAAAGTAAATAACAACAACGGAACAGCCTGTGTTCCCTTCTCAGAGAGCATGACTGCTCCCAGTGCAATGTGATTTTTTTTTTTTTTATAGGCTTCAGTTTTTGTTTTGCATCTAAGACATATTTGCACCTCTCTCACTATCAAGTGTGAGTCTAAACAAGACACATCTCTCAAATAACACCTATATCTTCAGAATAAAAAGTGCCATGCCTCTGAGACAGCTTTCTCCCCTCAATTCTTCCTGGTCTCTCTGAAAAATGAATAGAAATTTTTCTAGATATGAAAATTTGCTTTATATAAGCAACAATACAATTAGGTTTTCAAGTTAACATTTCTTCTAACAAATGTCTATTAGCTGCCTAGTCTTGTAGAGGCAAGTACCTGGCACTGTAACCTCCACCCATTTGTTCATTACTACACTCCAGAAGTAGTTTGCATAAAAACTTCGTAAGTTACAAAAGAAAGTCACTAGTGATGAGAGGAAGCATTGCAGAGGGAAAGTAGAATATCTTGCTGCTGACCATACTTCTACAGATTTCAAGAACTCAGTAGAAAAACAGATAGTTATATAAAAATTAACTTTAATGGGTCTATATGGGTGAATGCTGCTTTTTTTCCTGTAGAAACATATCTAGAGAATCGTAGTCATACTTAAATAAGCACTACTTGTTCCTTGTCCAGGATAGTGGGAAAAAACTGGTTTAGACAGGCAAATACACTTGCTGTTCTTATAACAAAGCTGCATACCTCCAGTTCTGGTTACACCACCTTGTCTATCAGCAAGTGAAAATAATGAACTTGATTATTGACCAGTTTCCTTGAACATACCAGATAACACATGTGTCCATAGCATACAAAATTAGGTGTAAATTCATAATATTGCACATTTTGGAAAATGCGTGCTGATAAATGGAACAGGGACCTGCATTTTGCTCGACAGTGAGCCATGCAGACAGATAATTTCCCCTCTCCCCCCCCCGCCCCCTTCTTTGATGGCTTTTAAAGAGACTCTGAAACAAGGATTTAAGCAAGGTTTCATTACTGACAGAAGCATCTGACCCTGAACTAATAAAGCCAGCCAGAGTTTCATTCTGTTCAGAACCAATCAGACACTTTTCTAAAGGAGAAAGATTTAAAAAGTAACAGCATACCTTCATAACATACAGCTTAATTTTATAATAGCTAGTATGGGCTTTTAAAAAGGTTTAGCTAGCTAGATTTTCTGAGCAGGTACCAGGCTAGAAGTGCACATTGCGATTGGAAGAGGTCAGTGCAGTTTTTAATTACTGTGTATTTTAACTGTTTGAAAGAAATAGCTCTGCACAACACTTCCACACAGATAACTGAAAATAGAGACTTCTGATGTGTTCAGTTGCTCATAGGGAAAGCAAAACAGAACTGTTTTAGCCCCTTGAAATCAGCCATGTAAAATGCACATTCCTTACATCTGTAGCTAGAGTAAGCCATGCAGCAGACGGGGCTGTTTTATGTTCACATCTGTACACTGAGGGAAATAGGTCCCATATAATCCCTCTCAGTGTGACTACAAACAGTACATAAACCTATTGTAGGAATCCCTTTAGATAGATTTTGGTGTCAGTGATGCTCCAGCTGGTGTCTGGTGTTTTTGTAGATGCAGACCCCATTATCCAGATTTAGATTTTTATTTGCATTGAATAACTCTTTACACTTATTGATGTTAATCATATGAAGATTTAGGCACATGCTTACACTGACATATGAAAAACAATTCTGTAAACTGTTGAGATCAATCCTCATGGAATAAAAAACCAATCTGATTGTCAAACTCAAGGTTTGGTTTCTAAAATTGTTTTGGAAATGTGTGGTGATGCTCCCAAGGGTAAGGAAGTTCACCATTGCTTTATAAATATTCTGTTTAAAGCCTTCTATCTTTTGTTTGAAGTTTATGCTTTTCCGAAGTTTCTATCACACTGCAAACAATATGCTGTCTTTTGTACTCTGGAGTTTCCTGTAGAGAAAACTGTTGTTCACAATGAAGATAACTTAATCTTGAAAATAAACTGACAGTTTGACTGGGCTTATTGATTGACCATTTTGTACAGGAAGAAATACTTGGAAATAACATACTTGACGAAATGGCAATTTGTGCTGCGCACTTCATTACCACATGCTGTAAAGTACTACTTTAAGAAATATACTTCAGTCCAAGATTTCTCATAGGAAAGGGTACTCACCCTAATAATTC